CCACGCACAGAGAAAGGCCTGTGACAAGGCCAGAGCTTCAGAATGGGGACCTGGGGCGGAGTGAGGCCACCAACACCATGCACCTCTGAGCCTGAGCCGGGAGGACCAGCAGGACGGAGGGGCTCCGAGAGGGGCCAGGCAGTGGCCCTCCTCCTGCCTCCCAGGCTCCTCCCAGGCTCCTCCCTGGCCCCACTGGCCTCCCTCCCCCTCCCAGTGAGTGACAGGTTCTGGCTGGAAGCACCTCAGAGGACCTGGGGGGCCCACGCCACGTGGCCACCAGAACTGGCTGCCTGGCCTGGGGACGAGGGGTGTGAGGATGGCTCAGACCCTTCCCTGGTGACCCACCCTGATGTCCCTGTCTCCAGCACTGGGGCTGCAGAGCTGCTAAATGGGGGCGGGGGGGGCTGGACCCTGGCAGATCTCGTTGGTGCTGATGGCTTTTCTGGGGTCCTTTGTGCACCCAGCCTCCTCCTCCCAGCTGGCCTGATTAGAAGGAGTGCAACACCAGGAAAATTATTAATTTCCATCCTCAAGTTTACTTCTGGGAAAGTTTGCCAATTAACTCAGCAGGAGGAGGCTCCCAGAATAAGAGGGGAGGGAGGCAAGGCCCAGGGTGGAAGGGGGAGGGCGGCAGCAGAGAATCCCCCTCAGGAGCTCCAGGGTCAGACAGGCCAAGGCCACTGGCTGGCAGTGACCTGAAGAGGGGTTCAGAGGTGGCCCTGCAGAGTGGCATGAAGGGCCTTGGTACCAGTTCTCCAGGGCTCCACTGCGTCTGCAGGCAGGGGGAGGTGGGGAGCTCTGGCTCTGATGGTGTGCGTGCAGGTGTGCGTGTGTACGTGTGTATGCACACACACTGAAGACAAGCTCCAGCTGGGTCTGAAGCCAGGGTGACTGCAGATGCTGTGGTGGCCATGGCCGGGCCGTTTCCAGGGTCTTCAGGAAGTTCCACGAGGCAGTGCCTCACGCGCTTTGCTCTCCGGTGCCTGATCGGGATGGAGCCCGGCACCGGATGCAGCTCAGGCTAGGCCAGCACCCTACCCTGAGCTCCACCCCATCCTCAACCACCCTGTTCTGAGGTGCATAGCCGATCCCTCCTGGTGCGGCTGGACTCTCCCGGAGGCTTCTCCCCTCTGCATCCTGCAGTGGGCTTCTTTCTGCTCCGGCAGGCCGAGGTTGCTTCTTGCTGTACCCCGAGTCTGTGTGTAGCTGGGGAAGGGGCAGAGGGTGTTGCTCCCTCCCTGCCAAGGCATCAGGGAGTGGCCTGGGCACGGTGCTCAGTTGGTGGACTCAGAGAGGCAGACGCCAGGTGCAGGAGGAGACCCAGGGGACACCCACAGCGGCTGTCTGGGCCCTTGGGCCTTGGTGTTACATATGGCACCCAGTACTCTCTGGAGGCTGAAAAGACCCAGAATCAATCCATGGAAGAGGGGAGTCGCAAGGCCAGGCACGAGGGGCTGCCTGCCCTGGGGCAGGATCTAGTGGAGAGCTCCTGAGGGTGGGGGGCATCCAGCTGCTTCCTGACCTAAGGAACCTGCCCAGAAGCCCACAATGGGAGGCAACCCACTGTGCCCAAGGTCCCGGGTCCCTAGGGGACAGTCCTGCCCAGCTGGCTTGCGGATGTGTGGCTCAGGAATGCTTCCGTCAGCTCCCACAGTAGCGGTCAGGCCTAGAGGACAAGGCCACTGAGGGGTCTTTCTATGCTGCTTTTAAAGGCAGCCCGTGACAGTCATCTCCCGCCAGCCGTAGGCCAGGGCTGCTGGTCCCTGCTACCCAGGTTCATCTCATCTCTGGTCCCTCCAAAGGAAGGGGCTTTGGGCCTACCCCCCAGCCAGGCGGTAGCCATCCCCATCAAGCTCCAGAAGTACTTAAAAAATGTAAATTTAACAAACTGCATTTCTAAAATCACAAGTAGGGGTCATTTTACATATTTTATTGTGTAACAGCCATTAATGAAGTTTGGTCCCTGCAGCCACAATGGCCCAGAGACGGAAGTTCGACTCCTGCCCTCCGGGCGGGCCTGGCATGACACAGTGTCAATAAATCCCCCGGCAGGGTGAGGCCCAGCCAGCGAACACTACAGGGCAGGGCAGGTCCTGAAGGCTCCCAGGTGGAGCTGCTTCTGGTGCTAACGGGTCAGAAGATCCTGGGGACTCCTGGACACGAAGAGGCCCAAGGGAGTGGCCAAGACCTGCTGGCCTCCCCTTCCTGACCAAGCACCCATGCAGGTAGGATAGAAATGTGGGCCTGAGCTCCCTGCAACCCCCAACACACTCACACTCACGCACACGTGCCCTGTCTGATGCCCAGGAGGCCCAGGCCAGCTGCACTGCAGAGTGGCCGGCCAGCCTGGCTTCCCAGAGCACCTTCAGGGCACGATCACTTTTTTTGGGCTCCTTGTCCCACTGGGGCAAGTTCCCGTGTGGCTGCTGGGCTGTGCTGAGAGCTGGCTACAGAGCAGTCCCGTGGCTGGGGCTCACAGGCACTGGAGGAGGAGGCTGCCCACCCTGCCCGGCCGGGAGAAGGCCAAGAGAGCCAGTCCCTCCTTCCAAAAGATAGATGTGCTGGCATCCTCAGGGGGGTGCACCAACCAGAAATGGGGGCTCCTTGAGTCTGTGGTTAGCACTAGGGCTGCTGACTTCCCCCCACTGAAGAGGGGCCAGCGGCTGTCCCCCACTTGAACCCACTGCCCAGACCTCCAGTGGGGTAGGCAGCAACACTGCTGAACTGGGGAGCTGTGTGCAGAGGCCAGCAGTGGCCCAGGGAGGGGTCCAGCAGAGAGGGAACAAAAGCCGGCCAGAGTCCTCTCAGGCCCCCTCCTCCACTTGCCCCATGCCAAGATGCTTAATCTCCAACTGCCTCTGGGCCAGTGCTGACCCCCAAGCAAACAGGGGCAGGCTTCCCGGGAGGGGAAGTGCTGGGGAAGTGCCTTAAAGAGGGCCCTGGTGAAGGGTCACCTGGAGTGGGCTTGGGGCAGGGCACTCTGACTGGAAGACACCACCCACTTCCCTCCATCTCCCAGGTTGGTTCAGAGTTGTGACCCAGAGTGACCAGGGCCAGGCTCCACGGGCAAAGTGGGCCTGGGAATCCCAAGGTGGGTTCTGAGGGCCAAGGAGGAGGCTGGGTCCAGCAGGGGAGGAGGGCCCACTGCAGCCTGAGGGCAGAGTCCCTGGAGAAAGCAGGGGAGAGGGCTTCCTCCTGAAATCCGCTGGGCTATTGTTACACTTTTCTGAGGCCAGGGAATGTTTCCAGGAGACGGTGACAACCAAAAAAAAAATAATAACGCCCCTCCCCCAGCAGCAGGAATTCTGGAAAAAACAGCTGCTGCCGTTATCCGCCCGCGGAAAAAACAAGGTCAGGCGCTGCGAAGATTTAATTTAAGGCGCTCGCCCGCAGCCCGCGGGCCACGCACGGCCTGCTTGTGTCCTCCCCGCGCGGGACTCCGGGCTGTCCCTGCGGCTGTGGAGGGCCAGGGACACCAGGCCTGGCTCCCAGCGTCGTAGCAGGGGTCTCAGGCCTGGTCTGAGTGGCCAGGGGCAGGGGTCAACTACGCCCATGCTGCTTTCCACCCTCCGCTTCTGGGGGGACAAAATCAGTCCTCAATAAAGCACGCCAAAATGGGAGGGGACGCGGCGGTCTGGGGAACAGGGCCGACCTTAATCAGAAGTGATGGCTGAGTGGGCCGTGGGCGCTGCGGGCCAGACCCGGGCGGGGCCACTCAGACCCTGGTCCTTGTCAGGCCGAGGCTTGAGAGGGCGGGCTCCGGGCACTCAGAAACGGGGTGGCTGGGCCTGGGAAGTTCCTTGCGCCAACGCCCACTCCCCATGGGCCGCGCAGGGCAGGCCTGACCGGCTCGGGCGCGGCACACGGTGGGTGCTGGGAGTCCGGTAGTCGCTGCTGGCGGGGATGCAGCTATTTTGCACCACGCAGAGCCAGAGACGCCTGGTGAGAGCGAGCCTCCTTGTCCCCGTGCGCCGACGAGGGGAACCCCTGCGGTCGCCGGAGTGGACAGACCCGGGGCTAGCGCCAACGTTCCGGGCGACGCACAGCCGCGGGCCCGAAGCCGTTCCGCGTGCTCGCGGCCGGCCAGGCCTCCCAGCCCCCGCCCGCCTGGGCTCCAGTGTCCCTGGGAGACGTGGATGAACACCAGTAGTTCTTGGCATTTCCCAAACCGGGGGATTGGGGGCTAGCAGGAAGGACGGAGACGGGGAGGAGACGGGGTCGAACCCGTTGTTTTTTACTTTAAAATTACATATTTTATGTCACAATCGCTTTTCGTTAAGACCACAAACATCCAATTTGGCTTGGCGTAATAAAATCAGCCGGGGCTCCCTTAAACCGAGCCATTGCGGAGAATTAAGTTGTGAAATCTAATCTATTATATCCATAAAGGAGAATGCTTTCATTGTAAATTCAGGTTATAAAGAAACTATACCTGGGCCGCCAGCCTCCCTTTCAGATTTGCTACTTGAAGGCTTATCAAATTACTTCAAAATGTTGGGCTACCCTCTCCATATCTCATGGCAACAAAAATTAAATGTGGCAACATTTCTTTTAATAGTAAGAAAGGTCAGAAACAACTGCCACAACAAGATATAATTTTAAAAAAAAAAGGCACCCCACCTCTAATCTACAGTGGGACGAGCCTACTGGTTTCCCAATTAATTCCAGTTTTAAAAAATCTGAACGTCGCAAGACTTCAAGCTCTCCCCGGCTGCACGCGGGGAGGTATCTGGGTGCAGTCGCGAGTGGGTCGCACGTGGGCTGAGCAATCTCAGACACCTAGGCGGGGACCGGCACCGAGCTGCAGCAGAGCCCGGCGCGCCGCACACCTGCGGGGCCAGGCGCCTGGAAGTCCGCTCCCCGCTCCAGCGCGCCACAGTGTCCAGGCCAGACAAAGGAGTCGCCAGCCAGGGGTTAATCCGCCCCTCACCCTTCTCCTAACTCCCCACCTCCTCACGTACTTTGAAACGGGAGAAACTGGCACCCTAATATTTATTTGGTTTTACAAACAGGGTGGAGACGCTTGTTGTCCTGCTTTGGATGAGGGTGGGCCCCTGGGCCACTTGCTGTCCAGGTCTCCCGCTCTCCTTCCCATACCTTCGTCCGTTTCTGAGAATTAAGTAACTCGGGGCTTGGGCCTGGGGGCGTCCTGGGCTGGCCAAAAGTCTGGGTCATCACGGGCTCTCCGCCCTCGCTCCGGAAGAGGGGTGTCTGGGGGCCGGCAGGAGGTGATCGATAAGTTTCTGAGTTCCCAGGGAACTGGAAGACTCGGCTTTGTCAGGCCTGCGAAAAAGATTTACGAGGCGGCAGCGGAGTGTCGGCCGGCTTCGCGCAGACCGCCGGCGCACCCCGTCTAATCTTTGATTTCCATCTAATTATTTTTTTCCTGCCACCTCCAACTCAGCGTCCAGAGAGGCGAACAAAGGGAGAATGGGGGATGGGGCCGCCAGGCCGCGCCGAGGGGTCGGTCTGCGGACCCCGCAACGCCCAGGCGCGCGCCCCGTGCCGCCCGGGGAGGGCTAGGGATGAGGGGTGACCGGACTGGGGCGGGAATCCTGGGGAAGCCCGCTCCGCCGCTGGGTGAGCGCCACGACCCTTCAGTGGGGCTCGGAGCCCAAGCGGCCCGCACCGCACGGGCAGGGCTCCCAGGGAGGGGTCCCGTAGGTGCCCTTGCGCGAGAGAAGGAAAAAAATCATTTCCCCTAACACGGCCATTGACCAGGCGGGGAGCGGTGAGGGCGGCCAGGCCCCTGGCAGAGGGAGACCGTGTTTCTTTTCTTGCAGCGCGGAAAAAGATCCGCCCAAGCGGGTAACAGAAGAAAACTTGCATTTTTCACTTTTGGGGAAAAAAATCCAAAATGTAAAATCATTTTATTGGTCACCATCAATAAGTCAACTAAAAATCGGGATAATTAGAGTGTGGGGAAATCGGGAACCATAAATCTGAGGACCTTTCCACTGGAGTAGGGACCCTTTACAGCTTGTTGGGTTTTATTTCGAGGGAAATGAGGTCTAGGGCTTTGGTGGACGCGGGTCTGCGCCCCGAGTGCCACGCAGGGCCTGGAAGAGACACAGCGGTTTTCGCCTGTAGCCCTTGTCCTCAGAGGGTGGCCATAGAAACCATGTGCTATGCCCCGAAGAGGGGACTTTGCGAAGCCCGGGCCCTTCCTCCTCAGCCCAGAAACCACTACTTGGAACGAACGGGTGAAGGGTCCCTGCCGCTAGGGCCAAGCACAGGGCCCAACCCGACTCTGGGAGGAGGCGTCACCTTCTTTTCCACCCACCTTGGAAAAGATATCAGGGTGTGCGCGGGGACTCCGGAAAAGAGGGACTTTAATACCGTGCTCCATTCGCTGGGGGGCTTTGCAACCCACAGCCCATCGGCCCCCTCCGCCCGGCCTTTTGTTCTAATCTATTGGGGGAGGGGAGGACACAACCACCCCCCTACACACAACCATCAAATCCCTTAATTTTCAATCTTCTGCAAAACAGCCAAAGACACATTTCACTGCATGGGGGTTTTTAATCCCACCGGTTGGAAGCCAATTTTCCAATTTCCTACATAGCTTCTGAAATAGCCTTCTAACAAAATCGCTCCAAGAAAACATCATCTAAAGTCCAATTAATCAGGTAAGGAAATAGGGGAAGGTTCTCGCTCAGTTGAGTCTAATTTTTTGAGGGGGAGAAAGAGTAAGTGAATTCTTTTATTTTTAGTAGTGGGGATTGAACCCAGGGCCTCGTGCTCCACCGCTCCACCAGTGAGGTACATCCCCCGCCTTTCTCTTTTTATTTTCAGACAGGGTTTCGCTGCGTTGTCGAGGCCGACTTCGACTTTCCATCCTCCGTCCTCAGCCTCCCGAGTAGCTGGAATTTCAGACGTGCGCCACCAGGCCGGGCTGAATTCTCTTTCTTAAGAAACCCGAAATAAAAGCGGCCCTTTCCTTCAACGCTCCCCAATCTTCCCCTTTGTTGTAAAAACCCCGTTCCTAAGAACGTGGGCGGGGAGAAGTGCAGGTCCACATTCAGAAGAGTTCTACCCCTGAAACTACTCTCCAAGGGTTTCTTTTGTTTGAAGTGGGCATGGGGGAGGGGAAGGAGCCTGCTGCAGGCCGGCCACCCGCCGCCTGACCAAAAAAAAAAAAAGAAGCCAAAGCCCAAGGACCTCGCCTAACTCTGAGAGTCGTGCGGGTCAGGAGAGGCTCCTTCCAGGACAAGAGGAGCTGCCCGCCCTATAGGAGTCAAGGTTGAGTCTCACCCATCTCGAGCTTCCCCCGTTCCCCACCCCCCAAATTCCCTGAGCGTCCCAGCTCTAGAATCCGGATTTCCAGGGGGTGGGGTATGGGACGACTGCGGAAACAAAGCCTGGTACTCCCTGCTCAGAGGCCGAGGCAGGACACATGGTGTCCTTGGCCAATTAAAAGGGATCGGGAAAAAGAGGACACGCATTCCCAAAGGGGCCCAGCTCCGAACCTCAGGTGAGGGTGGAGGAGCGCGGCGGTGGAAGCTCCAGAAACTCGGAGCTGGAGTCTACCCCGCGTCCCGCCGCCTTCTCTGCACCCAGCAAAAAGACATGTTTGCAGCGAAGGCTCTTACACATCAGCCGGGGTTTTATTCGTTCCCTCCCGGAGCGCGCTCTGGGCGCGCGAGAAACAAGGAAAGCGCACGTACCTGGAGGCACTCCGAGGGCGGCCTCGCGGGCCCTCCGCTAGTGAGGGGGCCCCCAGAAGCCACTCCCCGCCAGGCTGGCCGCCCCACGGCCTGTCCCTCCCTCCC